CCACAACCATTGGTCACTCTGGTCATTGGTCACTCTGGTCACCCCCAGGCCAACCCAATCGAGGTGGCCACCATGGCCAGCCTGACCTTGGTGTCCTAGCCTTGGTCACTCTGGACATCTTGACCACCTCAACTTTGACCATCCTGATTTTTTGGCCAACCATGACCCTTGACCACCACGAATGTCCAGCCCATCCTGATCCCCCCAATCCTGGTGGCCACAACCATTGGTCACTCTGGTCATTGGTCACTCTCATGTCTCAATCAACCCAATTGAGGCCACCATGGCCAGCCTGACCTTGGTGTCCTAGCCTTGGTCACTCTGGACATCTTGACCACCTCAACTTTGACCAGCCTGATTTTTGGCCAACCATGACCCTTGACCACCACGAATGTCCAGCCCATCCCGATCCCCCCAATCCTGGTGACCACAACCATTGGTCACTCTGGTCATTGGTCACTCTGGTCATTGGTCACTCTCATGTCTCAATCAACCCAATCGAGGTGGCCACCATGGCCAGCCTGACCTAGGCTGTCCAAGCCCTTGGTCACTCTGGACATCTTGACCACCTCAACTTTGACCATCCTGATTTTTTGGCCAACCATGACCCTTGACCACCACGAATGTCCAGCCACAACCACTGGTCACTCTGGCCACCCCCAGGCCACTTCTCCAGCCCCTGGGCCACCCCGTGGCCACCCCGGTGTCCCAACTCACGGTGATGGGGACGCTGTCCTTGTTGGCCGGCATGTTGAGCACCAGCCTGGCCGTGCCATCGCGCTGCGTGGACACCGAGCCCTGGAAGCCATCGGCCTGGACGGTGACACGCGGGGCCGGGGACTGGTCGGGGTTGGTGACATAAACCTGGGGGGTGGGGACACACCAGGGATGTCACGTTGGGATGTGGAGGGAGGGAAGGGACACCGGGACAGGGTGGTGGCACTGGGAAGGGACAATGGGAAGGGGGGGTGGCACTGGGAAGGGACAATGACACTGGGAATGGCTGGTGGCTCTGGACAAGGACACTGGGAAGGG